CGATAGGATGTAGATGTTTTTACAATCACTTATTTGACCGCCTCCATTGTCTATATATACGTATGAGTTGGTATATATAAAGGAGACAAAAGACATACTCCATCCTTCCCACTCTCAAATATCTCTCTTAACTTCTCTCTTAAGTTAACATTTACTGCATATATATATATATATATATATTGATACATACTCAAACATACATAGATACATTTACATATAAATTACATGTCATATACATATATATACTTATATATTATATTGATTATTATATAATATTTTATGAATTTTTATTTTTGATTTTTAATATTTTGAAGCCCACAAAAATAAAATTTTGTCTCGGCCCAAATTAGGTGACATCATTATCCACAAGACAAGACAAAGTCTATATATATATACTTAAGTATGTTAGGAGTTTGTTTCGAGTCTTGTGTATCATGGAGATAAGTGATAGTGAACAAACTACTTAATTGATATGCCAAAGTTATTATAATCTAATTTGGTCAATAAATACTTTATGTCATTTATTGTTTTGTATATATTCCAATTCATTATTTTGACACTAAATTATTATTAATGTAAGGTTTCCACGCATAGTTAGCCCGATCGGCCGAGTTCGGTCCAACTCAGTCGATCTAGAATAGTATCGTTCCAGCTCAAACAAAAAATCGGATATTTTTATAAAAATTATCCAATCCACATAAATCTTATCTAAAGAAGCGTATACATAGTGGAAAATATTACAATCTTTTCGTTTTTATTTGTTTTCGCTCAAGTATGTTCGTCGTTTTGTTTGCTTGCAAGAAAATTGTCGAAGAATTGTGAGTGTTGGGAAATGAGGGTTTTGGGGAAGAAAGGTTGGTAAAGAAACGGTTGTTTGTCACTTTGTTCGCTTGCGAGAAAGTTGAAGAAGAATCATGAGTGTTGGAGAAGAAAATAGTGTTGTTGGTGTTGAGTAGGAAGGTAGGTTTTGAGGAATCGTCGGTGTTGGGGAAAGATTTGGGTAAAAAAGGTCGGTGAAGAAACAATTGGGAATAATTAAATTGAGGTAATTAAGTAATGACCCAAATTAATTATATTATTAGCTCAATTTATTCAAACTTTTATAAATATAGTATAAAATTAAGTAATTTATTTAAATTTTAATTTGGAATTAATATTGAATTATTTTGATTTATTTTTTATTTAATTAATAGATTTAATTATTTTGGATTGTATTTAAATTTTATTTAATGTATAGAATTATTTATTTTTTTTATATAAAAACTAATATTTTAAAATAACTTATAACTCGGTGTAAATTTTTTATTTAAAATTAATTTTTTAAGACAAAATTTGTAATAATTGTAAATTTATTGTTATTATTATTTTTTTATATAACAAATTTTATAGTGGTTGTGAAATTATCAATACATAAAACTTGAATTGAACTTTATTTATATATATATAATTTTAATAAATATATATTCTAAGTATTAATAAATAAAATATATTAAAATCTGAACTTTACATATTAACTTTATTATAATTATTCGGATATTAGTTTTAAAATTTAAAATTATAAATTTAAGCATAATTGTTTTAAGCTTAGGATTTATAATTATAAAATAATTAATATATGTTAAATCATATCATTTAAGATTTTTTTTTATATAAGGAATTAGTTATTTAGTTATATTTTTGTATAAGTTTGATTTATTAATAAACTAATATGTATAATTTGTCCTAATGTATTACTATTTATAAATATTTTAATTAGTATATTATTCAATTGTAGAGTTTGTGTAAAATGACACCACATAAAAATTTTGGTTGGAATCATGCTACTCCTATAAGCAACAATAGAAAAATAGCAAAATGCAATTATTGTGGAAAAATTATTCACGGTAAAATTCCTAAAATGAAATAACATATAACACATATTACATGTCAAGTTGAAGCATGTACGATGGCTCCCAAGGAAAAAATATGCGAGCAATACATAAGAAAAAAAAATAGAAGCATTGTACAATTTCATTTGTTTGAAAGATGATTCAGATGAGGAAGAAAATGATGTTTTTTTGAAATAAATAAAAATGAGATGAATACTCTTGAAAGAGTACACTTAAAAAAGTAATGACTGAAAGGAGAAATATAGAATTTGTGGAACAACAACGTAGGTATTCTGTATCGGGATATCTACCAAGATTGAATTTTAAATATGGTATATTTATTGAATTGTCTAGAATATATTTAAATATGATCATATTTCTTATCTTGTAGGAGGAAACAATTCAAATACAAAAATAGGTAAAAAAAAATTTTTCGAAAACTCTACGAAAAAGACAAAAGGTTTGCATAATTTTATTTTTTTTGATTCATATATGTTTCAATGGAAGAACAATTTTTTGAAAAGTATGTTTTAAAAAGATAATGCAAAAAATGGTGAGTAGAGCAATTTTGAATTTTCTTTTCATTTAATATAATACTATTTCATGCTATCGATAGTGATCCTTACTGTCAAATAATGATTGACACAATTGCATCCGTTGGAGTTGGATTTAAAGGATCTACTGGTAAGAAAATTAAGGGTGAATATTTAAACGAGAAAATGCAAGAAGTTGTGCAATATATCGATTCTCTAAAGCAAAAATATAAAATATATAGATGTACAATCATGTGTGATGGTTGGAGTACTCACACAAAATATTCAATCATAATTTTTCTGATGTATTGTGATAGCGATATGATATATCACGGTTCGATTGGTTGTAAAAATAAGGCGAAGACTGCAGACTTTGTTTACACCATAATGGATAAGGTTGTGGAATTAGTTGGAGTTGATAATATTGTATAAATTGTAACTGATAGTGAAACTAGTACAAAGGCTACTAGGAAAAAAATGATGAAGAAGAAAAGGAAACATATTTTTTTAACTGTTAATTGGTGGAATATGTATGGTGATGATGTCCCTAATTAAGGAAAATTGCATTAAAAATTTTGAGTCAAACTTACACATCATCTGGTTGTAAGCGCAATTGGAGTACGTGGTCTTGGATTCATACTAAATTTGAGAGTAGATTAGCTATTTAGAATCTGTATAAACTAGTATATGTCCATCCACTAAAACATGCGTCTTTGGTTGAAAAATCTTATGCAAAGGACAGACACTAACAATTTTTGTGACCCAATTGTTTTCAACCATATTTTTTATGAAAATGATATTTTGGATGTATGAGTCAGAGAAAATGGATCTCCACTTATTCACGATGGCGATATAAATTGGTTGGATGAGGCTATTGATGAAAGTGAAGATGAAAGTCAAAGTCAACATAGTGATAATGTTAGCTATATGCTTTTATCTCAGTTTATAGATGATGAAAAAAAGATCAAAGAAAAAAAAATCATAAAACAAAAATGTGTAAGAAAAAAACGTATTGGAATCTTCATCTTTATCAACTAAAGATAAGAATAATAGAAACAAATACGTAAGAAATAGTCTGTTGATGTAAGGGTGAACTCGTGAATATATTTTATTATATTTCAAAATTTTTGAAACTAAATTATATATTATTTTATTTAAAACAAAAGGTTTGAAAAATTTCAAACCTAATTTAAATATTTTTTTATTATATTAAATAGTTTCAAAATTTACGAATATATTTTATTATATTAAATAGTCTCCAAATTTTTTAAAGTTATAAAATAATTCAAATTAAATCAAATACCTGCGGTGCTACTCTCCCCTTAATAATTCAATTTTTCTTAATTTTAAATAATTAAAATATCTAAAATTATTTTTAAAAAATTTAAACAAACTCTAATAAATCACACCACAGCGGCCGCCACCTTTCCTTTCTTTCTTCATTTGTTCTTCTTCTCCGCAGCCGCCAGCACTTTACTCCTATTTCTTTCTTTTCTCCGGCAGCGGTGGCAACCGCTGCAGCAGCAGTTGACCTCCTCCTTCTTCTTCTCCGACGGCAACGGCAGCGGCAGCGAATCTCCTCCTCCTTTTCTTCTCCGACGGCAGCGGAGCCTCCTCCATCTCCTTCTTCTCCGGCGGTGGCAGCGGACCTCCTCCTCCTCCTTCTTCCTCCGGCGGCGGCAGTGGCAGAAGCAGCGGAACCTCCTCCACCTCCTTCTTCTTCCTCTTCTCCGGTGGCGGCGGCAACTTCTTTTTCTCCGGCAGTGACAGGGGCAAAAGAGGCGGGGCGGTGGCAGCAACAATGGTCTTTGCGGTGAAGATTATACATTTATTTTAAGAAACATAATAATAATTTTAATAATTGTTTCGAAAATTTGGAGGCCAAAAAAATAAATTTAAGCTATCTGTGTGATGTTTACATTATTTGATTTGGTCTCGAAAATTTTGAAGCTATTAATAATAGCTTCAGAATTTCCTAGACTACTAAAATGCAACGAGCTTTATTCCTCGGGCACCATTCCGAGTCAAATTCCTTGGCCTTACAAAATTAGCCTTGGATCTATTTTAAAATTTGAACCAAATTTTTAGAAGCTAATTACTATATTTTTTATAGTATAAAATAAGTATTGTGTGTGATGCATGAGACTATAGCATGTATTGTTATGTATTATTTGTATTAATATTTGTATTATATTAGATATACAATGTGTTGTATGTAATAATAATATTGTGACATCATATGATGCGTTTTTCCGAAAAATGCTCAATTAAAAATTCTTGTTGCCGCAAAAAAGAAAAATTATATAGGTTAATATTTGTTCGATATGCCGCGTTAATACGTCACTGACGTATTTGTAACAATAAAGATCGATCCGTCTGCAATGGCGAATCATGTTAGCACGCGATAATTCATTATATTGTTCATAACACCGCTGCACACACGCAGTCGGGTAGAACTGGTCTCTTATTCAAGGTTGGAGGGGATTTCGGACAGGTTATTTCCAACATAAAGTGACATCAAACGGATCGAACATAACATAAAAAATAAATAAATAAATAAAAATAAAATAACATCAAAATTCAAACAATCTGTCGGCTCCAAAAAAATGATTAACATGCACAACAGTAACAAACTTAAAAGCACAGACTGGTTGTTCGTTAGACAATCGAATTGCGAATGAACATATTGATGATGACGAAGAACAATTGAAACACCAAATGATAACCGGCTAATCCAAAAGAAACAACACAAGGATGCATCGAATATGTCGTCTCTTTTATTACAACAAATCCAAAGAAACGAACAACTCTCGAAGTTTGAACATCTTCGATGATCTTCCTAGTGATGGTAAGCTTTGTAGCTGCGCAGGGGCACGTCGACGAAGTTCCCCCTCAGCAGATCGAAGTAGAGCGGCAGCTGCGCGAGCACGAACAGCGTCACCGGCACGCACGCGATCGTGTATATCGGCACCGCTGCTAGTTTCAGCTCCTTCTTCAAAATAAACGTGTGTCCGGCGCAGAACGACACCAGCATTGCCGCGATCGACGTGAAAAGAGCCGTTAGTCCCATCAGGAGCTTCTTCGGCAGGTTAGACTTGAAATCGCGCTGCTGGCACCGCGACGTGATGATTGCGAGGAAGAACACGAGGGCCGTCACAGATAGGCATAGCGCCACGAGGGAGCTTACGGAGAAGATACTGAACGCCGGGCGTGTTAGCTTCAGAGGATTCCCGTCATTCTCATTAAGGCCGCCAGGGACGGTGGCTGACGTGGCGAAAGCCACGGTGGCTACAAGCGCCGCAACGAGGGAGCACGATTCGGAGGTTTTCGTGAGCCATTTGGCGCCCTTATCCATAAGGATCGAGTGAGAGCTCTCGAAGACTTGCCGCGCCGTTTTGCCTTGGCCATTGACGTGCGCGTAACATAGCCGTGGAATGTTCTTCTTCACATACTGCGTGTTGAATTAAACGATTGATGATCGATCGATGCATTCATGCCATAGTCGGAACAAAAATGATCAAATACCTACCTTGTACCACTTGATCTCCCATTGCATTTGCAAGGCGTCGCCGGGGATGCGCCATGGATGGAGGTCGGCTCCGAGCGTGGAGGAAAGATGGAGGATAGTGTTGCCGTCGATGTCGATTTGAAAGAACAAGTACTCGGGGAAATTCGATTTCAGAAAATAATTGAAGACTTGGGTGTGTCGATACTCGGCTGCCAAGAGCAAGACGTTCTTCTTGTCCGAGTCGAGGTCTTGAATGGCTATCGGGAATGTGTCGAGGATCCTCTTCACCATTTCAATGGCTCCCATCTTGGCTGCCATCAACACAGGGGTGTCCTTTTTACCAACCATTTTCGCCACTTCTTTACTTTCGGGTGGTCTTTCGACCCGAGGTTTGTCTTCCTCGGAAAGTTGTTTGCCATCGTCCTCGTAGTCAGGTGGCGGGAAGGAAGGAATATCGCCGAGTCCTTCGAACTGAGGTTTTTCTTTCTCCAAAGGTTTTTGGCCATCGTCGCTGTACTCGTAGTTATTTTGGTGCTTGATCAGACTATCCATGATTCGAACCGCATGAATGTGTCGATGTTTTTTGTCTCGAATCTTCTGTATCCTTTCGAACCCTGAATGGAAACAGAGAACGCCAGCTACATGAGACACTCTTAAAACTTTTAGTTTGATCGACAAACAAAATGTATGTCGAGGAGAGCATAGCTAGCATACCGACTCCAAGAACAATTAGAATGAGCTTGCATCCGAACTTGATAAGCTGAACGCAAGTCGTGTAGTTCAAAGGATAGTAATGAGCTTCGCCTTCGCCTTCGTCTTCGTCTTCATTTTCTAAAGATGCGCCCGTAGAGACCGGTCTTATAACGTTCCTTTTGCCATAGATCGGGTTTTCTTCGTCGCTCGATCTCTCTCCAAATCCACCTGCTAATCGAGAAAGACATCGGACGACGACGTTACTTCAAGAAAAAAAAAATTACTACCTCCATCTCATCTCAATGTATTATTTCTATATTTTAGTCTGTTCACTCAAAAGTATTTATTTTCTATTATACTAAAAGTAATTGATATATAAATACCAAAATACTTCTTAACTTTTTGTATTGATTAATAAAATATTATTATTTCTCAATCTACTACATATATCGAAGAGTTTTCACCTTCGAAAATCTCGATGATTGGCCTTGTGAGAAACTTAAAAAAGTCGACACAAGTTTGGTAGTTTTCGGGGTATCGATGGCCTGCTCGACTGGACTTATTATCAGCTTTCCCTTTGTCCACACATTCGAGCTTCTTCATTTCTTCCACAAACACACCTTATATGCCGAAAACTCGTAATTTAGTCATCGAAATCGAATGATTAACGATGAACATGTATAAAAGGAAAGGGTAACGGATAATAATCGATACAGTTGTAGATGAAAGAGTCAAAAAGTCCGAGATGGGAGCTGCTCTTGAACACATTCGGCTTCGACGCAAGAAGGTAGAGAGGGCTTTCTCCGACGACATTGACACGATTAATCAGGTCTTTGTAGTACGCCACAACTTGATACGCCAATTCTGCACATATGCATATTTATATATATAAAGAAAGCATCGATATAACTACAAAAAATGCTCAAACATACTGAAGTTTTCTTGATTAATCGCAGCGTGTAGAATGGTGCATCCGTCGTCCTTCCAGCACGGCGAGTAGTACTTCTTCGGATCTTCGCCGTTCTTTCCTTTGTGTATCTTGTGGAGGTAGAGGAAAATGTCGGTATTGCCGTACTGCACGGACAAGAACAACGGCGTCTCCTTGTGGTTATTGCGAACCTCGATGAGGTGCGGAGTTCTCAAAGCTATCAACACGCACATGTCGCCCCATCCTACCGTTGCGGCGAGATGGAGCACCGTGTTGCCATTTATGGTCGTGTGGCCGCTCAACTCGTCATCGCTCATGAGGTTGATCATTCGCTCGATGTTGGTGTCGTCGATGGTGTCGGGATGGTCTTTACGGTAGCTAGAGATGGCCACGTCGAGGGCGGTTTCTTCGGCGTTGGTGAGCTTCGCTGTGCGAGCCCCCGGCGACAGCTCGTAGATGTCGGCAACTTCTTTCCAATTTTGTGCCATTGTGAGACGAAAGAGTCTTTTTTGGGCGATTTCTCCATCTTCTTGTTGTGAAGCTTTTGATGAGGAAGAAGCTGCCATTGTTGTTTTTGTATTATCGCTCACTTGAGGTGTATGAAAATTATGTACACGATGAAGGGTGTCTCTCTCTCTCTATATATATTCATGTGTATATACATGTGTATAGATCATATATGTATATATATATATGTTAATGGCTTGGGTAGAAATCTTGGAGAAAAATTCGAATTGTAAGTGTTACAAAATGTTGGGCATTATAAAATGGAAGTCAAGTATATATTCAAAAAGGGGTGATGATTCTCATCGTACAAACTTTGTCGTATTTGTGCAATTTTACTACTGATTTTAGTATTCCTAACTTTCTTTTCCCTCCAAAAATATCAAATCACATATTTAATTTTTATTTATTTTATTACACTAAAATTTAATTTTAGATTAAAAACATCACATCAACACATATTTATATCACATCAAATAATTATTTCAATTCAAAATTTTACTATTAAAATCAAAACTCAAAACTAAAACTTCACAAGTAAACATTTTTTTTAACTCTCCGTCCGTTAATTGTCCACTTTAGCTGGAACATTAAGTTTTAGATACTATGTTATTGGTAAACAATTAAGAAATGTATTAGTAAAATTAATTATAAATTAAGATTAAATGACTAAATAGTTAATTTAAAAAAAATTATGGATATAAAATAATATTTTCTACTTTTTTGTTCATTTCATTAAAGATGACCAATATCTATTTTTAATAAATTTATTTATTTTAAATATATTTAATCAATATAAAATAATTTAATTAAATTTCTAACTTATTACAAGTAGAAGATCGGTTTAAAACCCCTTTATTTCTATCTTTCTTTTCAATAAACAAATATTTTTATTTATATTTTAAACTTCTCATTTTTTATAAACTTAGTTTTAAGTTAATTATTAATAAAATAAATATATTTTGTTATTTATTTGTATTACATAAAATTTTGTTATCTATAAAATATATTCATATTACATATATTTTATTGAAATATATTTTTAAAGATATTTAAAATACCAACAATGCTATTTATATAAAAAAAAAATAATAAAATAATATCGTAACTTATTATTAATAACTTAATAATCTACACTATTCTATAAATACGGTGTTCCTAACCAAAGAGGTCATCCCTGTTAGAATGGAGAGAGTAATATTTTGACAATTATACGAGTGAGTTAATAATAATGTGAGATTTTTTTGTTTTTTTATTTTGGATACTCCCTTCATCCCATTACTATGTTCAATTTGTTTTTTGCACGAGGTTTTAGAAATATTAGTATTATATTGGAATAGAGTAGAAATAAAATAGAAATGACTAAAATAACTTTATTAGTATTGTGTGATATAAATGTAATGATATTTGTGTAATATATTGTAAATTGTACGAGTATTTGTAACGATAGATAGTGCAATTATTAAAAAAGAAATTGATACTTTGTTATGGAACAAACTAAAATAAAAAAATAAATATTTTGTTATGAGCGGAGGAGGGAGTATATTGAATGTGTAAATATTGATGATATATATGTAAATAAATAAAATATTAAAAATATAAATTAAAAAATTTGTACAGATTATTTAGTATAAATAATAATTGCATACTTTTTTGTGGATTAAAAAAAAACATATATTTTTAGTGGACAAGAATCTTGTTTAAAGCAGTTATATCATAACATTTTAATTTTTTATTTTTTTAAGATTTAATACGATGTAGTCTTTTATTATTATTATTATTTCTTTAAAAAAGCAAAATCAACATAGACATGCCATCTTTACAACATTATTTTAATACAATTATTTGAAGTTAAGTATATTCTTATTAGTAGGGTGTGTTTGTTTCAGGGGTGTGTTTGTTTCATGAATTAGATTTTAAATTCACTGTTTATTCTTTTTTTTTTCTTTTTTTTTTCTAAAAATATCAATCAAATAGTTATTTTTTTTTATATATTATATTAAAAATCAATTTTATATTTAAAAGATCACATCAACGCCTATTTATATCGCATTGTACAACTATTCAAATTCAAAATTTTTAATACGTTGCGTGGGTGCTATTGTAATAATAATGTAAATGTGCAGCAACTTCTAACTATTAGATTATATAAATTTATGATAAGCATTTTTAATTTTCGTGGAAATAAGAATAAAATAAAGGTCTAAATCAAGTAAAAGATCGACTACATACAACACAAAATTTTAAAAATAAATTATATTGACGTGTGAAAGAGAAGAAAGAATGAAATAAATAAATAAATAGAAATGGGCAATGCCCCTTTTAATTTCTCCTCCAAAAACCTTCTCTCGTTTCTAGGTTCGGTTCGTTGTGAGATTGTAAATCCCTAATCGATTCGTTTTATCCTGGGAAGCAAATCGGTGGCGGGCCGAATTTGCTTTAAGGAGATCGCGTGCAATGCGAAACTCGAATCTTCTTAATCAGATTTGTTATCTGATTTCGAATTAAAGCATCTCGATTTTCAATATTACATAACTTCTAACAAATTCAACCCCCAATCCAAAACAATTAATCGATAAATCAATACTCACCCAAACTAAAATAACAATCAATATATATGGGATGAACTCGTTGTGTTATGGCAATGGTGGATTTGTAATCGAGAGGTCATAGGTTTAGTGTTTAGAGGTCAAACCCTTCCGTAAAATATATATTAATGAATTATTATATTAAATTATTAAATTTTATATAAAATAATATTGAATTATAATATTATTATATTAATTAGCTATTAAAAGAAAATTGAATTAAAATTTTTTGTATTAATAATAATATTAATAATCATGGTATGTTCCTATTTGACTAGGGATATAATCATTTTATTGGATAAACTTACTAATTATATAATTATTTTTGTAGTGAATTTATTATAATGAGTTTAAAAGTATAAAGAAAAGAAAATAACGAAAGATTAATCAATCTAGATATTCAATTTGAAGACGAAGATTATTGACGATGATTGTGGTTACCTCCAATTAATGTGCTAAGAAGGTTGCGACTCCATATAAAAATTAATTGGTATCAAATAGAGTAGTCATTTACAATTATAAATTATAAAGTTTTTCGATATTTTCCAATGTGATCGATACACTAAATACATATGCAACCGACGGCAATTCCGTTTGCGACAAACAGCCTCTTCAGCAATTCCATTGGTAACATATCCGGCGGCTCTTATTCCGGCAGCAATACGGCGGAGACGTCTCCTCGGACGACTCCGGTCATCTTCTCCGGCAGCATGCCCCAACAACAAATGAGCCGTCCTTTTCACTTATTTCATGTTTGCTTATTTTGTTTCCATATATAACTTTTTGTTGTTACTTTTTAATTTATTTTATTTTTTTAGCAACAAATTGTCAAAATTGGGAGTAATTTTCTTTTCACCAAAATGAATTTTATAGGATAGTGATATTGTAATATTACAAAGGGTGTTAAAATTTCAGGTATTTCAACTATCTTTTATTCATATTTTTTGTTTCGATGTTTTTTATTTTATTTGGATTTTTTTTAAAAATTATAAATGTTTTTTTTTATTCCCTAAAAGTATTTGTTCATTTATTTTTGGGTGGAAATATGCACAATATATTGTAGTAAATTGATATTGATATTGTAGTAATAAAGGATTTGTTCATTTATGTTTGATTTGACTTTACCTGCTTTCGTAGGAGTTTGGTCTCCGTGCGGATGGTTTGATCATTGACGTTGGATTAATGTTTTCTTTAGACATCTAAGACTTTGATATTTGTGGAGGTGGATTTGATACTCCAGTTTGGTTTAGCCGTACTTTGAAGGGCTTTAGTCTCCGTGCAAACGATTTGATGGTCGATTTTGGATTTGAAGACTCATTTTGTTGGATCTGGAGTCTTGATCTTTGTGGAGGTGAATTTGATCTTTGATTTGACTTTTCCAGCTTTCGGAGAGCTTTAGTCTCCGTATGGGCGATTTTGATTATCGTCCTTAGATTTGATGTCTTCTTTAGACGATCGGAAGTTTTGATATTTGAAGAGGTAGATTTGGTGTTCCATAACACTTTTTTGCGGCGTGTTCCTTTGACTTTTGGATTGAATAGGACCAGGTTAATGCTTTTGATGAAGAATGTGACAAACGTCTTAAAGTTTTAAGATGAACTTTGAAGGCTCTTCTTTGGCTTTGGCGGATCCTTCAACGACTTTTAGAGCTTTAATCCTTCCTCCGGCTTGAGCATACGACGAAGCAGTGGCGGAACAAGAATCGGACGAAGAGGGGTGCTAATTTTAAAAATTTTCAAAAAAAATGAATTATTGAAGATTGTTTTTTTCCTTTGTTGGAAATTTTTTTTATATATATTTTTTTACTAAAAAAATTAATTTTATATTGAAAATATTACGTAACACTTATTATATTATACTCTCTCCGCCCCTTAACAATGTATCTATTTTTTATTTTGGTCTATCCCATAACAAAGTATCAATTTCTTTTTTTAAGTAATTGTACTATCTACCTAACATTACAAATATCCATCCAATTTACAATATATTACACAAATGATATTACCTTTATATCATACCATACTAATAGAGTTAATTTAGTCTTTTTACCTTTATTTCTACTTTATCCCAATATAATACTAATATTTTTAAAACTCTGTGCAAAAAGCAAATGGATATATAGATATGTGACGAAGAGAATACAAAAGAATATTCGAATTTAATTTTTTATTATTCAAAACTTAAATTCAAATTTTCAAAATCCAAACAAATACACTATATTTAAAATTTTAATATATTTTTTATCTTATTCTAATTATTTTTTTAATATTATATATATTATATGCATATATATGTTAATATATATATATAAATAAAATAATGAAATGGCAAAGAAGGACTACATTATATTATATATACACATATATGATAATATATATATGTATATATATATAAAAGTAAAGGGGTGGTTGCGTTCGTCCGCCTTGCGCACTAAGAACTTTAATTTCATCAATTCATAAAGTTCTCAGCGCCTCATCAAGCTCCATCATCGCTAGCTCTCTCTTTCGGAACTCCTCCCTTTCTGCATCGATTGAGGCC